CAGAGGAGTCATACTTACCGATATTAAATCCGCGCTGCTTCTCAGATTGCGCACGAGACTGACCGCTCTTCGATCATACGTTCCCGGCGATGCATGTTAAAGCGACTACGACGATGTCGATACCTATAATGATGCGCAAGCCCAACCGCACCGCTCGATCTAGGCTCATGCCTTGTTAGCGAATTTCGACAAAGAAGAGGCTTCAACATTCGGAGATAGCATCGCGTGTTCAGCAAAGGCGGGTACTCAAAACCGAAATGTACAGAAGGGGGCACAAGACATCGCTGCTGGTAAAGGCAGTGCAGTCGATAATCGAGGTACACTGGCTCATCGCACCCGTGTTCATGCCCTCGTAAGGTCATGCCCTCATAAGAGTAAGGGTTAAAGTATATCGGGAAACAGGTTCATCATAACACAACAGGAAGAGGAGGAGATGGCAGTACATACCTTTGACTGGAACTCGCGCCAAACCGGACCTGGAGGCGTGTGAGGATGCTTAACGACTGCAAACGCCGATTTTGCGAAGCGCCGCTTGCCTGGCAGCCACACTATGGGGCCGATGTCCTGCTCTCGTACCTCGTTAGCCAAGCTCGATCCTCCAGACAAAAGCGATGAGAATGAGGTTCAAATTGCTCAGATCCGTTTTTGACATGTCAACTACCTAGATGCATGTGCCACAGGGGCCATGCATCTGGTTGTCGACGTTGCCACTCAAGCCGTCATTTACAGTAAGTGTTAAATGGGGGTATTCGGCAGAGTAAATCATCATTGCAACAACAAAACGCGAGAGAAAGAGAAGGACTTACTTCGGGAACGTGCGAGTCAGCGGATACACGTTCGCGATCCTGAATTACTGCTGGCGGCGGCAATTTCTGCTTTTGGTCGTCACCATTCGATGTGCTGCCTCCATACGGAGACGAGTGGAGTGCAGTACATTGGTCGAAGTTTCGCATCGCGGTCAAGACCGAGCCAGCCTCCTGCATTGTCAGTCACAGCCAAGACATGTACGACAGGTAGCAAACAGAAGAGTGGGAAGCCTCAGAGTATGATACATGATAATGACCTCATGGGTTGTCGGAAGAGATGCTTAGTCGGTTGCTCATCATTGGCCAAGTCTTGAATGAAATGTCGCACGCTTACCTCGGAGAAGACGGCCCTTGCAGTGGAGGCGTGTGGGTGGGAAGGCCTTGGACAAACTTACTAGCATTGTCGTCAATAGCCTGGCCATCAAGGCCGGTGCTTCAGGAGCCTGTTGCTTGTCAGCACAGAAACAATATCAGAGTCTCAGAGATCATGGAAAGAGATGGAAAGATCAGAACATTCGTTGTTCTCATGGACATTCGAAACGAGCGAGACGTGCTTAGAAAGTATCATCACGAAGATGAACAAAGTGGGAAGAGGTAGAAAGACTTACTCAACTGTCGCGGAATTGGGTCGCGGATGTGTTGACCATCCAGTCATGCCAACGTCTACATGCGTGGTCAGCGGAGTCTACCAACACAGTACGAGTTGCAGAGTGGAAGTGTGATCTTCAGAACAGTTGAATGTCGCCATCGGAACTGACGAACGTGCGTCTTCCGGTCTGAACCTTACTCTTTGATCATCATGAGGGGAGGTGGGCAAGTAACATGAACGACTGCGCACTTACCTTTGTTGGAGATGTTCTCGACTAGGGTACCATGTTAAAGTTCATGGAGTTGTACACCTGGTGACCTGGGTGACCTGGATGACCTGAATGACCTGGGTGGAATGGCATCCGTGGTGGTTGTGCGAGAGTGGAGGAAGCGTACAAATTCATGCTATTTGGGTACGATGGCAGAGCTGCCTGCGCCTCAATGTCAGCAAAACGAAGGTCAAACCTCGGTCAAGAAAGCCAATGAGAACCCTCAGCGATAGGTTTCGACAGCGAATGTTCGGTGATTGGAATGAGTGTTGATGCATCATCATCAGGTACTTGGTATATGCGCAAGAGTTGGAATGGATGAGGGATGCGTACCGAAGATGACATGACGATGCGTCCTACCGCCCTACTGCAAGGTCGGCAACTCCGACAAGTCGTTATCGTCCGCGGACTCGTCGGGAAAAACCTACTAAAGTGTTAACGGACATGCTCATCAAAGTTCTTGAAGAGGCCGTCATTGTCTGAAAAGATGTATGAGAGCGACAAACCACACGCGGCACTCGCGGGGAGGAGCTAGCTCGCCATGGACCAGTCACGCATCGACCTGCAGATTTTGAAGATACTGCTCCTTCCTTGCCCAAGAGCAAATCGACCGAGTCGACTGGTAGTTGTAGTTTAAGAACAGATATCCGAGAGCGGGAGGTTTTGCAGGTCTTTTGTTGATCTCGGCGCGTGGGTGTACGAGTAAGGATATGGAAGATCGATCCTCCTACACCCTGCGCCTGCAGGGCGATATGAAGAGATGGAAGAGAAGAAGACGGTGTAGCGGACTTACGCAAGTCTGATGAAATCGTGATGGCTGCGGCTGGTGCGCTCCAGGAACACTATGATTGAGTCAGCGAACGTCCTCACTCGTACTCAAATTGGAGACTGGTTGTCGGAATGTACGAGCATGACAACCTATAGGCACATTTGCCGACGAGGGCAGCGCGAATGGCACAGTCATGCGTCGCTACACAACGCTTGAACGGGTAGCTTCTCTTTGTTTGTGTGTGTACTCCCTCGCCAGGGTACTGATTGCCATATCTAATCTCCGTATAGTTTCAAAAGTTTTTCCCACGTCCAAGACTGACGTGTGTGAACTTGCTCTCGGCGCGCTGGATCTCCGAATCACCGGAGGGTCATGCGAGAGAAGGGTATGGAAGACCCGTCCTCGCACACCCGGCGCCTGGGTCTGATATGCAAACAGGGAGTAGGAGAGGAGCCGAACGTTACCTGATGGAGCTAAGCTCAGGACCTTGGTGGTCTCGTGGTGGCGTCAAAGGAGTAAGACGGGCTGCGAAGGTCGATGCCGATGCCGAATCTAGAAAAGGTGTCAGCTTACTCAAGGTCGGTAGCCTTTCGACAGCAGGACAACGACAAGAGTGCGAAAGCGACGGAATGTACGAGCTTGACAACCATCCAGGCCGTACCGGTAGATGGCTACCACGGCGAGGGGAACAGTCAAGGGTCGACGCGGTCAATTGCCCCCCTCCGCGATCATTGATCGCTACGACCTCCCTGCCATCAGAGATTGGCGACGGTATCTGATCGTCATTCCACTTTGTCTCTGGGCTCGAGACGCGCTGCTCCAGCAGCGTCCAACAAGGACCAACAAACTCTCTCACCGCGTCATGGCTTCAATATAGGCCCCGGGAATCAGGATGAGGTATGAAGAACCACAACCCAGGATGCGGGGCCAGATTCTCGCCCAACGTGTCGGTCGGTATGATATGAGGAGGAAGAAAGACAGACTTACCTAGGGCTGTGACATGTTCTTACTGTCCGTGTGGGTGGCGCGTCAATGTATGATAGGCGATTCGGTTGTGGATGACCATCGAACGGCCCGGCCAGGGAGAGTAGACTCGGAAGGTAAAAGGTACCTGCGAGCACATCCGTCAGTTGATGTACTTGAGTTGTCGGAACAGAAAGAGAAGGACCCAGTACAAGAGTAAAGACTTGGCAAAGACTTGCCTGGGGGCTCAGGTCACATGAGCCTTGTGCGCATGAGGTAGGAAAGGGGAGTTGCGACTCGGTGACAGCCGAATCGCTCAGCGTCGATGAGGCGGACGTTACTCACGCCGCTCTGACTGGAACATACCTGAGGGGAGGCCGACTAGATCACCATGGACTCGCTTGATGCGGTGGTCATGGCGGAGGTCGCGCATGTCCGAGCAAGACCTGCCAGCATCGCCGGTAAGATTGGCGGCATCATCGCTACGAATGCTTGTCAGTCTCGGTGCGCGCATCGTATAGACCATGGTAGTCAACAAGGGCATGCCAGAGTGTGTTGTTGGGGGACATAGTCGCCGCCGCTGTCGCCGCGGAGGCAAGCAGCGGAGGTCAACAGCCAGGAGCTGAGCAGCGACATCTCACCTGGCTCTCTTGCCGTCGTGTACTGGGGATGTGAAGGAAGCTCACTTACTGGTCGAGGCCGTGTCGCCTTCTGGTGAGGCTGTTGTGGCTGCCGCCGCCTGAGGCGGGGTAGAGTTTGCCGGCTACGAGGTCAACAACAGGGCGTCGATCTCGACAGCACCACTTCGTACGACGGTACAGTAAGCTGGAGCTGGTTCTTTGTACCTTTGGCCAGCTTCTCGCCAACTCTGGTGGTGTTTGAGAGCGGCGTGGTTGTGGGCAAGACCTGCAGCGATTTGGGACTCCCGCATCGCCGCCATCGTCAAGGCGCCGCAAAGGCTCAAGGCGGGCATGGAACGAGAGAGAAAATATGGGCAAGGTGCAAAGAGACCTTTGAGATGCGCACCAGCCTTGCGGAAGAAGGTTGTGGGTGGCCGTGATTTGGTGGTGTGGGTGGCAAAGGGGAGCTTGAAAAGGCCTGACAACATAACAAACCTTAGCGCCAAAAGCCTCCAGCAGCAGCACCGACCACCCTCCATCACTTGGTGAAGCACGTTCCAGGCGTTGATGGCTCCCCAGAGAGCGGCTGCACTTGTGCGAGCAGGCCAAGCTTGACATGATACAGGCTATATTGTACTCGCATTAGGTCTGCTACTTAGATATACAGAATCCTCGCCATGTTGGACTTTACTCCTTTTCCCTCGTTTCCTTTATAAAGACTACTCGCGAAAAGATCCTCCGCACGACGCTGTCTCCCCTCCGCGTACCTCGAGACACACAACGCACACACGAACGACTCGAGCGGGACCCGATGTCGAGGACCGCAACGATCTTCGAGAGTACACGATCTCCTCCCCCAAGCGCTTCGTCCACAAACCCTACTGCGCTTCGTCTCGACAATGCAGCTAGTCTAGCTCCTGGCGGAAGCGATCGTTATAGCCATCGCCGAATGCGGTGCCGTTCCTGCCTACACCACCGCGTTAGCTCATTTCGATACAAGTTCATAGCGAGCGTCCTTACTCTGGCTCCTAGTAAGACGGGTCGAGGTTCGACGGGTCGGACCACCAGTGGATATCTGTGATGAAGGCTGGCCACGCGGGGAGTACGCACCACTAGAAGACGGAGCCTGACGGGTGACACGACCACGCACACGGGAGGAAGCGACAGGAGTCTTTGATCGGGACGAAGTTGAAGCACTTGCCTGCCCATACAACAGAGTCTTTTGTGCTTTCGGGCGCGAAGTCGAGGCAGACTTCCCAGAAGCATACGGAGATTTTCCAGGGAGATCAGTAGAGGAGTTCAATGGGCGCGACTGAGATCTGGTTCGCTGCTTCTTTGAAGCCGATTCCTTCTCCGCCAAGTCACTGCTACTCTTACGCTTCTCGGTGTAACCCTGCTTCGTGGGATGCGTCACGCCGTGCTGCGATCCGGGTTGGGCAGAGCGTCGAGGGTCATACTGGTTGTTGATCTGCTGTGACGAAGGCCTGGTCTGATCTCTAGGATCTGAGGCATGTGTGCTGCTACCGCCGAGCATCTCCAAAGGATTTCCGTACGTAGTATGTCGGGTGGAGCCTTCACGCTCTTCCCTATGGATACCAGTACCAGACTGCGAGTATCTGAAGCCATTACCAGGAGGTGGCATCATCCGCGACGCTGTGTTGGCTTGCGATCGTGGTCGTCCGGATGATCGAGATGAGTGAGAGCCAGCCACAGATACGTTGTCGACTGCCGGCGTTGCTTTTGCATTTGCGTGGGTTGAAGCATGATTGGAAGAATCACGAACGTAACCACGAAGCATAGCACCTGACGCAGGTTGGGTCTCATCCAGCGCTGCTAAATCGTCGAGGGATATGCTACTCAAATTCAGCGAGCTTGAGACTTGGCGATTGGGATCTTGCTGTGACGGTCGGAGCATGTTGAATATATCCTGCGAGATAGATGCACTTCCAAGATCCTGAGTTTCTGTAGCCGTCCCAGGTTCGTGACCACTGCTGTCTGCGTTATTGGGGGTTTCATGAGTGTCATGTTGTGTCGCAAACAAGTCGTCGTCGTCAAGCTGAGTCTGTGAGAACTCGGCGTCCAAGGCCCATGATGGCTTCTCAAAGTGAGGAATCTGACCATGAAGACCGTCGAGCACCGAGTGGTTTTGTCGTTGAAGTTTCTTCCGGGGCTTCGCTGCCTGTACAGCATCGCGTCGATCCTCTATGACACTCTTGTCACCCTGTACTTGGGAGCCGTCTTGTTGATTGCGGCGAACCTTCTCGCGTTCAGCCTTGATCACATCCTGATATTGTCGTTCGAGTTTCTGCATGTTCGACTCTGCCTTTTCGCGATCAGCTGCCAGCTTGGCTTTGAACTGGTCGGCCGCGAGCCGTGAATCCGCTTCTGCTTTCTCCAATGCAGCGTCTTTCTCGGTCAGACGACGGTTCCAGTCATCAATCACGGTGCGATGTTGCTCAATCAGCTTCTGGCGCTCTTGATCGGCATCTTTTTGGCATCGGGATTCGTCTGCTTCCTTTGCGGCGCGTAGTTCGGCTACGTCTTGTCGCAGTTTGCCCTCATTGGTCCGGGCTTGCTGAACTCTGGACGATACATCCTTCTTTTCCTCTTGAAGTTTAGAAATCTGATTGTGTAACAGTTGGAGCGTATTGCTTGCATCTTGTTGTACTTTGCCAAGTGTAGTATCAGCCTCTTCGCGCATAGTTTGCATCGTCGTCTGTTGCTCGACTGCTTGGGCCTGTGATTTATCGAGCAGACCTTGAAGCTCAGAGATCTTCTCGACGTTCTCCTCGCAACGGCGACTCAACTCAGCATGGCCTCTACTTTTGGTGTGAAGCTCTTCGGTCGTCTGTCGTAGCTGCTCTTGGATGTTTGTCATTTCCAACGCCTTCGGTTCAAGTGTGCGGATCTTGTCCTCCAGCTGATCGATCTGGGTACACGCGGCGTCCAAATTGGTGCTCACTTCTTGATGTGCGTTTTCTTTCTCGTCGCGCTCAGTCGTGAGTCGATCAATTTCGCTCTTCAAGCTGCGTTCTTTCTCGATGAATCTACTCTCGCAGTCTTTGACGATCTCCTCTCGTATGGCGACCTTGTCTTCAACCTATTAACAGAATTAGTGAGGCCATGAGACGTGATGGTGCTTCCTACCCTATGCTTCTGCTCCAGTTCCAGTAGCTGCGTCTTGATATCCTCGGAGTTGCTCTGTCATTCGTCAAAAACCGCAGTAGACATGAGATTGACGCCGCTCACCTTGTACATATCTCTTTCCTGCTCAATCGTCTCGACCTTGTTATTGGCAGCTTTCAGGTCACCCTCGACCTTCTTCAACTGTTGGCGAAGGTCAACAGCTTCTCGCTCGAGCTTCTCCGTGTCGACGTGTGGGACGGGGGGAGAAACTCTCAGTTCATTCAGATCCCGTTCCAGCTGATCGGATTGGGCCCGAAGATTGACCTCGGACTGCTTGAGCTCCTTGATTTGCTCGCTGAGTTGATGGGAATGTTGCTGCTGCTCCTCAAGCTTCACCTTGAGAGAAACGTTTAGCTCATGCGTTTTGCGGTTCTCGGTAGTAGCCTCATCGTATCTCAGCATCGCTTTCTGAAGGCTGTTCAGTCGCTCTCCAATAAAAGTCCGGAGTTCTGTGTCAGGGGCTGGTTCGCTCTTTATGGTTTCGGAAAGGGTACCAAGACCTGAGTCCAAACTGTGCAACTAGTCAGCACATCAAAGATGCACAATAAGAAAGGATCATGACTTGCCGTTCGTGCACAAGACGCAACGTACTCTCCATCTTCTCAATGTCTTTAGTTGTCAGAGCTGGCGACATCTGCAGGGATCGCAAAGCATCGAGACATTCTTTGACCTGGGCATCTCGGTCGTCATGGGCAGAAGTCTGCTCAATCGCAGTCTGAAGCAATTCCAACTTCTTGGTCAAATCACCAGAAGCAACGATGATCTGACCGGGAATACTCTGAACGCAAGAAAGGAGCTGCTTTTCCATCTCTTCGCGTTTTCTTCGCTCTTCTCCGATTTCGGCATCCCGCTTGCCCAGGTTTTCGATAAGATCTCTCCTCTTTGACTCCGAAAAGATGAACCGCGCGTAGACATCGTCGAGCGCGGACTTCATGTTGTGTTGAGTCGCATCAAGCTTGTCAATTGCAGTCCCGCATTCGCGGTACAACGTCTTCTTTTCATCCTCAAGTTCGGTGATCTTCTCTGTCAGTGTCCTCTGGCTCTGCTTTTGGAAGCTCGTAGCGGACTTCTGCAGCTTCTCGTAGTCCTGCTGAAGGCCATGCACAAACTTCTGGTTGGTTTTGGCCTTGTCGGTGAGTTGACTGAAAGCTTCTTTCAGGCTTCGAATGCTCTCATCACGCTCTGCGATAGTCTGGACATGGTCGTTGATCGTGCCCTGAAGCCCAGCAATTTCTACCTCGCGCTGCTTCGCGATAATCATGCTTTCATGCTTGGACCGGAATTTGTCAGCCAGCATCGCCACTCTCACGCTCTCAATTGCTTGATCAAGACCGGAAGAGATGGCCTGCTCCTGAGGGTTGTTCGGGACCGGTCCACTGGCCCGTAGCTTTCTTCGAGGTTTAGCCACACGGTGAAATGCGTCTTGGTGGGAGATGCGATGTAGAACAGCTTCAGAATCCTTTGGCAGTGGGGCAGACTGTTGACTGCTTGCAGATACTTCGGGCTGCTGGAGTTGATTGGACTGGGTGGCTATAACAACCGACTCGTGATTGTCTGGGATATGAAGACCAGAGTCCCGAGCCGGCAGTGGAGTACGTTCTTCGGCGGAGGTCAGCCCGCGATCCTGATCGTGAACATCTGCGAGCGGCTGTTGCTCGCGCTCCGTATCATCTACTTTCGGAGGCAAAGTCGATTTCACAAACATAGAGGACGTGGGGAACTCGCGCTGAGCGGAGGAATCTGGAAAGTCCTGGAAGGTCGTGTCCGGAATGGTCTGAGTGGTGTTGCAGGACTCCTTGACGTGAGCGACACACTCATGCTCTTTTATCAGCGGGGACTCAATGTATGTATGTCCATCGGGGTTATTGATAGGGGCAGATGCTTGTACTGTATGAGATTGGTAGGCATGAACTGTTGTATCGTCGGTAGCAAGGGGGTTGTTGAATGTCTCGGCTACTGGTTTGCCCGTCGTCATGGCCTGCTGAGCGTGTCGTGCCAGAACGTTTGATCGAGGAGGTCGCTGCCCTTCACGCTGCTGAGAGAGCTGTCCTTTTCTTCCTTTCTTGCTCTTCTTGACAATACGAGCCTTGTTAGTTCCAGGAGCTGGCCTTGCTTCGGGCTGTGCGGACGGGGGAATCTCAGACGTCGTGGCCGCTTGGGCAGGTCTACAGATGTCAGTGAGGTTCTGGTAGCTTGCAAGGAGCTCTCACGGTGGGTATGCATCAACGGCCAGCGAAGGGAAGAGATGTTCTTTCTGATTCGCAGCAAAATTTGACTCAAGGCGATTGTCGTTGCCCGGAAAGATTGGTGGTGAGACGTGTGTAGGTTGTGGTACTGAAGCGGCATCTACTCGAATGTTAGTCTGCTCGATTGGAATGGCGTGAAGGCTTACCCTGAGATGCATGAGCAACATGCTTGTGGACATCTGGTATTGTCGACTCAGTATGAGGAACAGCTCTGGCGGTATGTGCTTCGTCCTTGGGGGATGCCTTCTTGGGGACTTGGCTCGGTTGCGAACGTGTGAAAGCGAACGCCGGTACATCTGCTGAACCAGAGGGATTGTTCAACCCGGGTGTTTCCTTGGTGCGAGTGCTGAAAACATATGGAACCCAGGATGATGTATGAGTGTCCGCCTTTTTCGTTACTGCAGTGCGCTGCAACAATTCTGCAGTACCGGGACTAGTAAGCAATTCGTCGAGGTCCGGCTCACGCTCGGGAGTGAAGTCATCACGAATGTAGTGTCCGTCCTGATTCGGCTGAGTCTCAGGAACAATTGCATCGCTGTCAGGTTCTTGGGGGGTAGGCTTCTTGCGATCTCGCTCGTCATCGGTTGACTCGGGGCGTACTTCATGTCTGAGTCGTGAAGGCTTCTGCCTCTTTGGCAACTGCTTGCCTTGTCGTGGCAACTCGGCCATGGTGAGTGACAGCACTGCCAGGCGCGTTCGGACGTAAGGAAACCGTAGTAGAAACAACGCAGGCAGAAGATGAGAAGCGACGTGCTAGACGACTGCACCAGTAGACGAAGATGAATTGTTATGGGACAAGAGTGAGGGGCGACGAGGTTTGCAGCGGCGTCCTGCCTTCGTTCTTTCCTCCATCGGCGCGAGGGAGTCACGGCTCAACAGAATGACGCCACACGTTCGGTCATGAAAACTGAGAAAGACATCGTGGAAGGCGCAATGGAAAGAGGAAGAACACCCACATCGCATACCTACATAGAACCAGTGAAGCACCTCATCACGGCGGACATATCTCACACTGCAGTATGCTTCTGGACGCATCTTCCAGATCATGCGTCGGATCCATGTCTGCTCACAGCCATTCGATCGATGGGTGTCTGCCTGCAGTTTGCTGAGCTTACTATGAAGCTCTGCAGCTGCCATTACAACCATCCAGCATATTCCTGCTCCCGAGGTCTGTACCCCGCGCAGCCACAAGCACGTGACGGTAGACAAAGAACATTGGAAGGCGAACCTTTGAGGGGTGAGTACTTACTCCAAAGTCGTCTCATGCAGCGCACCACACTGATCATCGCGGTGCACCCCTCCGATAGCGCGCATCCACCAGAATACCCAGGTAACATCGTACGATAATTGTCCCTAGATTAGAGAAGGCGATGTCGCCTGCCATGTGATTACTTTTCTTACGTCGTCTGGTCCACTCTGCGCCGAAACGTAGGTGGCTAACGTGGACTGCACCGGAGATGAGGAGCCAGAAATACCTTGATACCACGGGCTCACCGACTACAATAAGCGGCAGCTGCTACATGTACGCCGTGAGGTGGACGATGGGAGTCGTCGCCTTGCATGCTCCCCTGAAACGAAAGTGTGCGGCGACATAGCTAGCCGGGCGCTTCAGACCGGGGGGTGCGTCCAATCACATTTTACCCCTTGCTAGCTCGGCTGCACGGTGATCTTCGTCTACACAGCTACGCGCCCACTACCCAGTACGCCCTACCAATCCTTTCGGCTTATCCTTCCAAGCCGACAAAACTCGACGCCAATGCCGCTATATTAAGAGAATGGCCTGATGTACTCTCCGGCAGCCAACCTGGTCTGCCGTCCAAGCGCACGATGCTAACCGCCGAGAAGCCCTGAGACTGGCGGGGTATTGGACGAGTGATGGCAAAGGTATTGGCTTGGATAAAAGATGTTCGCAGGTGGCCACGCAAATATAGAGACATGCCCTCCGTTCTGGTAGCGAGTTGTTGGTATTCCTCCAGTTGATCGAACGTCCTTCACGCCAGCCTCGTGTCACCTCATATCCGATCCATCCTCCCGTCCACGCCGCATTCAACGGCACATCGACATCATGAGCAGGCCTCTCCTCCTCTCGTTCCTCCTCCCTCTGCTCGCCCTTGCTCAGGACTCCTCCTCGGGCAGCGAGCTTCCTCCTCCCGGCTACAACGGCGGTAGCGACAACCCGCAAGACCCCAGCGATGCTGGCGCCGCGGGAACACAGAAGGGTGCTTTCTCGCTCTCGGGAGGTGCTATCGCAGCTATCATCGTGGTCGCCGTCCTAGTCGTGCTCGGATCCAGTACGTTCTGCACATCACGTCCCAGCATACTCGGGCTAACATCAACACAGTCGCATCGGGTGTACTCTGGTGGCTCGCGAAGAAGCGCCAATGGGACGTTCGCGCATCCATTCGCCGTGCGTCTCGTCGCTTTACCGGCCGCGCGAACAACGACGCCGGCAAGCAGAACCGCGAAAACCGAAGGACAGGCATCAGACTCAACTCGCCGCCCCCGGGCAAGAACGCCACCAAAATGCGCGATATCGAGAAGGGCCTCCCTCTGTCCAACAAGGCGCCACAAACTACAACTACCATCACGAGCGTGATGAGGTGAAGCTCCAAAATCATATCATGGAATATCTGGAAGCAACACCAGCGCCGCCACGCGGGTCGAGGCACCCGTCGACGCGAAAGACGATAACGGAGTTTGGAGAAGGACGCCTCACAACTCTTGTCCGTCGGAACGTGCGCACGCATACCGCATCCTTAATGCGGCTTATCATAGCACGCAGGGCATGGATTTTTCGGGCGTACACGAATATTACGGTAACGACAGTACCTGGGAAGCGGTTGATGGCTGCTTAGGACTCTGGAGCATTTGCACTTTGGGCGTCATTATTTTCTTGTCAACATATTATGATACCACGCTTTTTCGGACGTATGGACAATGGACGCATCGGTCAGCGTCGATGGAGTCAAGACGTAGACCGTAGATTTCGATAGTACCCAAACATAACTATAACCACCATTTCAAAGACCTCAATATGTTTCTCTACCTTTCGACATGCTCAAAGTAAGAGTTTGTTGAAATAAGAGCCTCGAGCCCGGCAATACCAAGGCCTATTATGAGACCACACGCCAAGTCAGCGACCGCCCATCTGACCACCAGCGATTGGCCAAACGTCCAGGAATAGCCCGTTACTTGGCCATCGCTTGGGAGTTTCTTGGAGAAAGCTTGGGAAAGGCTTGGGAAAGGCTTGGGAAAGGCGTGGTATATGCAGAGATGATCTGACCCTGATCCTACTATCCCGGTGCTGTGGTGTGCTGCCGGCTGGGCACCCAGTTTTATTTGCCGGCTTTGCATGACTGCCGTAGGTCTGACCCAGGATTAGAAGGACGGTAATGATGCAGGGTATGTGACGAGATCGCTTCGTGCAATTAATTTCCGAGAATAGTTTGCTGTGCCGCAGAGCTACATCGCGGAAGCACCATATACAAGGGAAAGGTTAAACCAGTGTAGAGCCGACGCTGACGTTAGGTCACCAGCTTTGCGTGTTTTTATCTTGATGTAAGCTCCATAGTGTTCGGATGTTTCCTTGAACAGGGCGGAAGGAGGACCGGGAGGCAGATCGTGACTTGGATACGGTGACTCGAAATCCTTACCTGTGACATCTATCCAAAAGTCGAGAGCTGTAGACTATGGATGGGTTGATGTTTACGAGATTGACACCCCGATTTGACATTGCGACAAGAGGTCGGCCACAACCTCTCAATCTGTAGCACGTGACCTGGCGAGCACGCTAGTCCTAAAGTATTTCGCCCGACGCGTTCCCCGCATCATCCTGTCTGGCGCCATTTCTGCCCAACGCGACACCTGGGCAGCACCACATCGCGTTCACATAGCAAAATCGCACTGAACAGACGACATGGCCTCTCGACACCGAACTACCAGGCCATCTGCTAGTCGCCCGTCTGGAGTTTCCACTCCAGCGCGAACTGCCGCTAGCAACCGCAGCGCAGACGTCCTTCCACCGTACAAGAAGCCATCGCATCCCCTCGATACCGAAGCGACGCGAGCCCTGAGGGAACTACAAGGTCGCAATATTAATGACATCAAGAGGCACAATAAGCAGGCTACTGAGCATGTCACCAGTACAGCGGCAAACATCAACGACATGCTACGCGACCATGCTGGGTATATCGAGCGACGGCAGAAGAAGTGGGACGTGGGCAAGAGTTTGGACGACAAAGACGAAGAAGAAAGTATCATGGCAGAGCTCCAGACCAATGTGGATGGGGCTACCACAAAGCTGGAAGAGAGCATGCGCGCTGTCATCGACTCGGGTGTCGCCGCGCAGCGCATCGAGGAAGCGCTGGAGTGGTTAAGGAACACTGCGCCCGGGCGGTCGGCAGACGAATATCGGACGCAGATGACACAGCGGGAGACACAAAGGCAAACCCAGACTCAGGCAGCGAGCCAGCGGGCACAGAACGAGGGTGACGACGAGGAGATGGACGACAGACCTACGCCCGGTCCTACACCCCTCGATGGCTCTCGCGTAGCTCTCACAGGCGCAAGTGAGCTGTTTGCGGATCGTATGCAGCGCGACAAGGATGCCTACACGTCACTCTCCTACACAGCGCGCTATGCACGCAACAACGATTACCGCGAGTTCAAGCGTACGGTACACGATGCCAAGTACGGCGACGAGGGTCCCACACTTGGTCATGAAGACACCTGGTTCAATGAGTCCGGGTCGCCAGCGCCTGGCATTACGGACACACGCCGAGGCGACCTCGACGACGACGATGACATCGTAGTAGACAAAGCGACCATCAGCACGAGGTGCCCCATCACATACCAGCAGTTCAAGGACCCATACACAAGTACGAAGTGTCCTCATACCTTTGAGAAGAATGCCGTTCTCGATATGATCCGATCGGGCGGTCACAGGGTGGACGGTCAGAGAGCCATTGAGTGCCCAGTCAATGGTTGCTCACAGGTAAGTCTATCCTCCGCATGTCAATATTCTCAGAGACCTATGCTGACACTGCTTCTTAGTTGCTCACCAAAGACGACGTGCGCAAGGACACTATTATCGCTCGTAGAATCAAGCGCATGCTAGCAGCTGAACTTGAAGGTGAAGACTCCGACGAAGAGGTGCAAGCTCCTCGTGAGGCTCAACAAGTCGATGGGAGCGACGATCTGTCTGGATCGACCTCGAGACTGCAGGTTCCGGGGACTCAACAGCCGCCAGAGTCAAGCATTATCGAGGACCTCGGATCTCCGAGCGATAGCGAGATGTCTGTTTAGCCTATGCACGATGGAAGTGGCGTTTCGGTCTCGGATGGGCTCAATGATACCCAAAGGTGTAAAGACGTAGTTGATTCTAGCGGAATATGTTGAGACAACAGACAGGCCGCGCAATCTATGCGCCATAGTACTTGTCCCGTAGTCAGGCATCAATCTTCTCAACAGCACCTGCGCAACCCTTTCGTTTCTTCTGCAAGCGTTCAGACCGGCCGGGCGCCTCCACATTCCCGACCCTGTGCCGAAAACTAGCTGACCTACCATTCACCCACGGACATTGAATCGGCCTAGATCTGGTGCCCTGCATGACATTTCGCTACAATATTCTTCCGCTCACAAAGTAGTTCACAGCCTGTCGTCACTCAGAA